CGAGGTGGCGCTTGCGGGGCCTGGGGGCTCCGACCGCTGGGGCTGGGGTCCCGGTCTGGGGCGAAATTCCGGGGGCCGGGGTGTGGGCGCGGGCTCGCAGCACGTGTGTGCGTCTGCACGTGTGTGGGCACGTACCTGCCATGTTCGCGCACGCGGGTGTCCGCATGATTGAGTGTGTGTCTGTGCGTCCTGGGTACGGTCACACCGACCCACACGGGACCCACGAGGGGCCGCCCCGGCCTGCGCTCGGCCCCGCCGGACGCCGGAACTCTCCAGCGGCTGCTCCAGGCCGGGTAAAGAAGTCGCCGGGTCACCGGATCCATCCGCGCGGTTCTCCCGCGGCCGCCCAGCTCCGGTTTGCGGGGCGCAGCGTCGGAGGGGGCGCTGGGGGCTCCCTGGGGAGCGTGGGGGAGTCTGGGCAGCGGCCAGCGCCCGGGGACAGTAGGCAGGGCCCAGCGCAGCCCGTCAGGCCGGCCCCAGTGTCCGGGACCGGACGTGCCGGTCCGTCGGGATGAGCCGGGCGCGCTCAGGAATCTCGGCGGGCAGGTCCGGGGAGAGCCGGGCGGGCACACCCGTGGCGAGACGCCTGATAACGCGGCACAGGCGGCCGCCCCCGCGGCGGCGGCTGCGGCTTGGTTCAGACGCCCCGAGAGCCAGCGACGGACGCGCAGAGGGAAGCGCTCGGCGCCCTGCAGAGGGGCTGAGCTCCGGGGCCACTGCACGCCCCAGGGGTGTGACGCCCCCCCCCCCCGCCGTCATGGGTTGGCAGGACAGCCGGGAGCCCCGAGGACGCGCGGTTGCACCCCAGAATCTCTCCCACCAAAGCATGTCGCGTCTTGCCGGGAGCGTCGGCTGAACAGATTCGGGGCGTGTCCACGCTTGGAGAAAGGGGAGTAGCTGAGGCGGGAGGAGCAGCTGAGGCAGGGGAGTAGCTCATTGCCAGTGGAGTGGCTGACGCAGGGGAGAAGCTTCTTGCTGGGGGAGCAGCTGGAGTGGGGAG